ACGCCAGCTATCTGGAGATTTATAACGAGCAGGTGAAAGATCTGCTGGCGCCACAGAGCACAGGACATGCGCTGCGCGTGCGCAACAATAGCAGCTTGGGCACATACGTGGAGAACTTGTCGCAGCATGCGGTCTCTGACTTTGAAGAGATACAGGTAAGTGTTGGCATTTGACTTGGGAAACGCACGAGACTTGGCCTTAAACCGGATGATCTTTTACAGGAGTGCATTGCGCGAGGAAATGCGCACCGTACCACGGCCAGCACCAACATGAATGACACGAGCAGTCGCAGTCACGCCATCTTCACGATTACGTTTGTGCAGGCCGTCTTCATGAATGACATGCCAAGCGAAACAGTTTCCAAAATTCACCTGGTCGACTTGGCTGGCAGGTGAGTTAGTGGAGCATGAAGTTGTGCCTTGACAAACTATCGTTATTACCAACTCTCTTTTGTTGCAGTGAGCGCGCCAATGCAACGGGCGCAACGGGTCAACGCCTGAAAGAGGGCGCTCACATCAATAAATCGCTTGTGACGCTGGGCAGTGTCATCTCAGCATTGGCGGAACAAGCGAGCGCTGGCAGCGCACATAGTGCGTCCTCACTGGCCACCACACCGAACGGCAGCACAAAGCGCGTGCTGTACATTCCCTATCGCGACTCCACACTCACCTGGCTGCTCAAGGATAGTCTGGGCGGCAACAGCAAGACAATCATGATAGCGGCGCTGTCGCCGGCCGACTGCAATTACAGCGAAACGCTGAGCACACTGCGATACGCGAATCGCGCCAAGAACATCATCAACAAGCCCACAGTTAATGAGGATCCCAATGTGAAGCTAATACGTGAGCTGCGCGAGGAAATCAACAAGCTGAAATCCATGCTGACGGGCGATATTGTAAGTTGTTCAAATATTAAATATTAAAATATGTTTAAATATTAAAATATTGCTTTCTGCGCCCTATTAGCACTCATTGCAGCCCTCGCTTAAAGTGCTGGCCGATCTGCAAAAGATGGAGGCGCAGGAAAAAGTGCTTACCGAAGAGTGGACAGAGAAATGGAAGGTGGCCCAGTCTATATTGCAGGAACAAAAGAGTCTGGGCTTGCGCAAATCTGGCGTGGGCGTTGTCCTCGACTCGGAAATACCCCATTTAATTGGCATACACAATGATGTAACGACCGGCGTCACACTCTACAGCTTAAAGGAGGGCGAAACGCGCATTGGCACTGAGGATGCGGAGCTGGCGCAGCACATTGAGCTGGTGGGCGATGGCATACGACCGCAGCACTGCAGCATTATTCTCAAGGGTGGCGTTGCCACGCTGCATCCCTGCCCGCAGGCCCAGTGCTGGGTGAATGCACATCTCATAGACGAGCCTAAGCAGATCTCGCAGGGTGACATCATATTGCTGGGGCGCACCAACATTTTTCGCTTCAACAATCCCACCGAGGCAGAAAAGCTGCGCAAAGACTTGCATCGTTCGCAATTGGATATGTCGCGTCTGTCTTTGATAACCTCATCGCGGGAGAACCTGCTCACATGCAGCAACTACTTGGACGAAGATGCCATGACAGGCAGCACCTCGTCACCCTATAAACGATCCGATCGCCAGTATTATCCACAGCGCCCCACGTCCCGCGACGATCCCGAACTGCAGGATGAAAACCGCAAAATACTTGATACCATTGAGAATGCACTCAAGCAGCTGAATGTGGTCAGTAAATATTGACATATGGCTTTTGTTGTTCACTCAAATTTCACTATGCTATTTACAGGAGCGCGTTCAGATGCACGACCAATACAAGACGAAGGTGCGAAAGCTAACCGAGGAACTGAAGCGCCTCGAGCTGGAGAAAAGGGATGGCATGCAGTTATTGAAATGCCGTGAACAGGAGCTGCTTGCCCGCAAGGATATGCTGCTGTGGGAAAAGAATAACGAAAAAGTTCAGGTGCGTCCATCTGATTCAGCAAACTGCATGTAAAGCTACCAATCTTTTATTTGGCACGTGCTTGTTATGTAAATTCTTCTTGTTTGCATTATTATTTTTGTTATTTTTTATGGTTTTTCGTATGTTAAATTTTCATTTTAGATCGACATTGTGTGTAGACAAATATCAGCGTTTCAAACGCAGCTCGACTCAAAGAAATGCGATTTCTCAGAGTATGTAGCCAAAGAATTGCAGGAGCTGCACGATTGTGGCAAACTTGACGAGGTTTGTTTGGTTTTTGCTTTGATATGATTTGCTTAGAGTTAAGACTATTAAGTAGCAGATCGAGGCTTATGCTTGGCTTACTTCTATCGTTAATAATCCATTACAGATGGGTGTAAAGATTGAAGAGGGCACTCCGCTAAATGACGAGCTGCTGCTGCACGTCTCCGACTCGCTAGATTTGTTTGCAGCGCAGTTTATCAGGGATACGGTACGAAGAAATGTAAGTTTGAACTTTAAACAAATAATTGTCACTTTATTAACTTCAATAAATATGCCTTGCAGAATGAGGAGATACGCAGGCTGGACGAGCAAATAGCCGAAAAGGAGCGCATACTCAATGCCAGCACAACTAAAATAGCCAAAGTTGATGAGACCATGCTGGAAATACAGGCGCAATTAGAGCGCTTGCGCCAGGAGCGTGCTGAAAGCGAGAAGGAGTCCCAGGCGATGAGGGTCAAAAAACAGGGCATGCAATTGCAGATGTCAAGTGCAAATGATATGGACGAGGTGTCCAAATCGGACACATATGAAACCTGTGATACCTTTCATACGGCACACTCGGATTTCTCGCTGCTGTCATCGCCTACCATAACAGAGGGTCAGCAGTCGCCGCTGAGCAATTTCTCGTGCGAGGCAGAAGACGAGGCTGAGGATACGCGCAAGGATGACTTCTCAGGCAGCAGCGAGGATACATCGCGCACCTGCACTGCCGGTCCCAGCAGTGGCAGTGGCAGCACTTCAATGGCGCCCGGCTCGCAGGCCATCATGAGCGACAGCGGCGTATGCCTGGATAGTCGGAATCAGGCGCTGGTACAAAATGGTGCTGGCGGCAATTATAGGCAGACCACGCGCACCAGCGACGAGGAGACGGGCTCCTGTTCCTCTTGTGAGCTGGGACGCAACTCGGGCATGACGCGCGCCTACTGCCCATTGCATGCGCAGCGTCGCAAAATTGCCGCTCAGAAGGCTTTAATTATGAAAAATCTTGAAACAGATCTTAATAAAGTACAGCTTGATGAGCAAATTGCTGTTCTGCAGGATCTTCAACGAAGCTACATTCAGATGGAGCAGGAAATGCTGCAAACGGTGCAGGATCTTGAATCTCATGCGCAGTGCTGTGCGGAGGAGCGTGCTGGCATGGAAAGGCAGTATGAGCTGGCCAGCTCTATAATGCGCTCCAGTGCGATGAGTCCAACCAGCATGGAGGAGTCAACCTCGCAAATCTATTCGCCCAGCATGACAAGATCGTGCCCATCCATGAGGGAATTTCGTACGTATTTGCTTATGTGTAACACAAATTTCTAAACTAGTTAAGCTTAATTTTATTTTCACAGCTGAAGGCGAGCATTTCATTACCATACCAAGTTTTGTGATTCGTGGAGCTGGCAAGCAGACGCACTACGAGTACGAGGTTCGAATTGCGTTGCCCGATGGCAAGCTAAACATTTTGCGTCGATACAGTCGCTTTCGTGAGCTGCACTTGTGCATGAAGCACTGCTATGGTGCCAAGGTGAGTCGTCTGGCATGGTTAAATATTTATATGTTGATCAACCAATCATTGTAGATCTCTGCATTGCCTTTCCCACGCCGGGAACTCTTTGCCTCAAACAGTGAGCCGGTGGCAAAGCATCGTCGCCGTTTGCTGGAGCTCTATTTGCGTCGCCTGTTCGTCGTTTGCTCGAAAATTCCACAGTGTCCAATTTATGATGGACCCGGGGGGCCTGGCCTCACGCGTGCCTCGCTTGTTCAGCTGTCGTCTTTTTTCAAGAAGGGCCTGTTCGAGAACGGAAAGCACGGGACGGGATAATAGTTAACCTACTGCTGAATTATCTCCTGCCTACAGTGTGTCTATTTATTTATTTGTATTATCTGCTTAGCTATATGAACGACAACATGGACCTGTTTTAAGTAGCTAGCCCAAGTAATCCATAGAATGTAAGCTCAATTATGTATCTATATATAAGACCATGTTTGTACTATTTATGTATGTATATAAGACCACCAGTGTCCTTCCAATATGTTATTACTTTTATACCAATTGTAATATATACATACATAACTGTATAAACATTTATAATCACTGTATAGAGCTTTACCTTAAACCGATTGTAAATCTAACTGCCAATGGCATTCTTGTATTGTATATAAATACGTGCACATATTGACTTCCCAATGGTTGAGATTTATTAATACGTTTTGTTGGTTTGTTTACAAACAGCTTGCGCCAGAAATTGATATGTGGTGTATTTTAAAATAGCTAATTTTTTGCTCTAGTTAAATATTTTATACTTGTATTGTGTGTATGTGGAACTTCCATAAGTTATTCCAGTTATTCAGTCTGTGATTATCTAATGAAAGTTATATGACAAAAATCTAAATCCAAACAAAGTACGTAACTGAACATTTCACGAGAATATAAATATCCAATTAAAACCTGTATTTGTTAACCGTAAGCTAGATATAAAAATAATTGAACACTGATGGGTCATGGGTAGGCAGATGTTTAGCAGTAGGTGATAAGCAATATATAGTTTCTAAGTAACCATAAGCTGATCGTCGCAATTACAATACACTAATTATGAGTACAACTAACCGCAAAAACATTAAATGTTAATTATATAAGGCTTAGAATAAACACTTTACCCTAATGAGAATTGATCGTTAAAGTTGCTCGATTGCAATTACGGAAACAATAATATAGTCTAAATGTTACAATAAATTCGTATATATATATATATATTTAAACAATTTCAAATAACAGCATTTGGCGCCAACTCTACAATGTTAAGCTAACAGACTGTTAATTCCAGCATGGCTTTCAGTGAGCTTTTGGCTGGCTTTTCTGCATAATCTACCTCTTTGCATCGGCAATGCCCTGCAGCTTGAACTGTATCAAAATAATGGTAAAGCTGACAATAGTGACCACCATCTGCAAGGCATAGTAGAATATATATTACTTAAACGATTAAGAGATGGTTTGTGTTTAGCTTACACTGCCAAAGCATTTTAGATTAATTTCAAAGAAATTGCCGCAAGTAAAGCGCAGCTTTAAATGTTCCAATTGCAAAGCATATTCCCGCAGGCCATTGCTAAGCAACGGCGGATTAAACTTACCGCAGCGAATATTGTGAATAATGCGTTTAAAGCTGTTGTACTGTAATAACAAAAGCGTTATTGTCCAAAGAAAAATAAATATAACTGTTACCGGGCAGCCAAATTTTGAATACCCTTGCAGACATATGTCAGTGTACAATATTAAAAGTCGATCTAAGCTTTATAGAATTCAATTCTCAAAAGATGAATCATATGATATATTGGTCCGATATAGAGAAGATTTATATAGAATATTAATAAGATTCAATCGAATATTAACCTACGTGGATTTTGGTTTTGCTGGATCATTGAAAAGCTCATAACTGCTGTGCTGGGGAAAGATAGCATAAAACAAAACTTTTTTATATAAAAAACTAAGTTTTCGACAGATAGGAAAACTACAGAACTCTATGATTAAAAAGTCCGAAGTATGATATTGTTTGCTTATCTCGAAAATGAAAATGTTTTTCATGCAAGAATTTGGTTTTCTAGCGATTCTATATATCTATGGAACCTATATGATATAATAATCAAATCCGGCTAGAAAGAGAGATCTGACAGATCTGTTTGCATAGAAGCAGAAAGATGGGCAAACGGACGCGGCATATGGTTTGAGCTACTTAAGAATTTAAAAAATTTAATTGTAAAATTTAAATACTATCTGCAAGGGTATTTAAACTGACTAATTTTTTATTTACTGTGCCGATGCAGTTTTGGGTAAGCCAGCAGGGTATCAAAAGATTGATAAGCAGAAGCATCAAGTTGCCAACGCGCACTGGAATCGACAGAGATATTGATAGATAAATTGAATGTATAAATTATATCCTGTACACTTACAGAAACGACAATTGCTACAATCGCTCGGATTAAACGCCTGTATGTAAGCCCAATTGACGATGTGGAGCATGGCCAGTCCATTGTACAGGAACAGGCATAACATAGGCAGCAGGTAGTATGTCTCCAGTTCGCCGACCAGCTTCCAAACACGCGCCATCAGCTGTTTGTTGCGAAGGAGTGCCATGCACAGGGCTTGGAGCAGGTCGCGCTGATTGCAGTCGGTCAACTCCTGCTGCAGGTAGATAAGCATGTGGCGCAAACGCAGCAGCAGTTCCTGCACTAAGACCACAAACAAAACATACTCCACACCTTTCAATTGCAGCACCAGTAATAAAAACTCGGTGAGAATCTTGTCGCACCAGCTCATGTACTCCGTCATTACTGGAACCGTAATGATGGGAAAAGCAATGAGCAGAAACATAATCCAAAGTCCGATGACAAGAGCCAAGCGTTGACGAAATCTGGTATGCTTCACTAGCCCACCAAAGCACTGGGAGGCATCATCCAAGTCCAGCTCCAGTGCAGCTATAGTCATATAAATGTGACCCAGTCTTCGAAAATAGAGCAGCATGTTGACATGTATGATGGCCAGCAGGATTGTGTAGAAGATCTTCTGCACCATGCCCAGGGCACTTGTGAAATCCTCGACCTCCAATATGCGTATTTCGAAGTTAAGCGTTATTATGTTCACATAGGTCACATACATGCCCAGCAGAAGGACGCCACAACTGTAGCAGCCAAAGGCGAATATCAAAAGCCGCCTCTGACAAAGGTCGGAATCCCTTCCATAGCTGCTGGGCGGTGGCATCAGCGTGATCAGCGAAAAGAACTGCAGATAGGGACGCGCTGTGGCCAGCAGTTGACCCTCCATGCCAGACACCAACGAGACTTTGCCGTCCACTGACTAAGCTCTTCAAATGTCGGTTGCTCTCTTTTAATTAGCAATATTACACATACGCCGCATTGGCTGATTAAAGAGTTGCGTTTGAGCAATTATACAATTGCAGCAGTTTGATATACCAGAAAGGTAACGTACACTGAATCAAATAAGTTAAGCCACACTCCACGATTACTTTCTATTATATTTATATTTAATTGTTTAGTCTTTCAGATATACTAATCCTAGTATTACAAAAGCTCCGAATGGTTTCTTAAGACCTCTTATACAGCTTGTTGACCCTCAGTGGTTGTTACATTGTGCTGATTCGTGGGGCACTAGTGGGCGTGGCTATAATAAGAAGACCACTCAGAGTTCATTATTTCGTTTATTAGCGAAAGTGGCAGGGGGCGTGGCATGCTCTTTCTGTCTCTCTTATTCTACCTTAGTTAAGAAATCTTAAAAATGCCAAGAATATTACGAATTAAACGAAGCACATTTGACTTTCCAATGTTTAAAAAGATCAATAAGGACTTAATGAGATTTACTTACCTATGTCTTAATATGATAGTTTTGTTTTTTATATAAAGACGTATTTAAATTACATTTCTTTTTTGAAAATATATTCTTTTCCCTGTAATAAAGTCAAAAACGAGTATAACTTTTCTGCAAATCAAACAAATATGTTAGAATATCACAAAGGTAAATTAAATTACTGGGTGCGTAAACTTTTTTCCCTGACAGTGTTTATATTAAGATCTTTAACACTATTCGTATTGCCAGTTGTCACATTATAAGGCATGTAATTTTGCTAATTGCCAGCCAATGTGGGTTACAATTGCTATTGTCGTAAAACCGACCATATCCAGCAATCAGTAATGTCGCTGTCCAATGCCCTTTTTCTACTCGGCCTTTATTTTTCTTAATTTCTACATACGTTGCAGCAATTGCTCCACTTTCTTGCTTCATTTTCCATTTTATGCACATAATTGCACTTCTTGTGCGCTGCGTTGAGCAGAAACAGACGCAAATACATTTACACACACTCGAGGATGCATATTGGGCATGCATGCATGTATGCAGCAAACATGTGGACATGTGGACAGCCAAATCAAATGAAAACACCCTCTGAATCGACTATAGTCCTGCAGGAGCTTTTATCCGCCTGCTAATCCCAATGCTCATTCGCCTGTCCGTTAGAATTTCACTTAGGCGAATGTACGCGCGGCATTGCTCTAACAAGATTATGTGTCCTTTTTAATTTTAAACTACTTCACTTTACTTTGTCCACACCATTGAGTGCTGTGTGTGTGTGTGTGTGTGTGTGTGTGGATACGTGTTATTTCTTTTTCAAGTGCTCTTCTTTTCAGCTTGATTAAGCACTTTGTGTAACTGGAGCACATGCAGATGTTCCTTGACCCCATCTAATGGCTATATCTCAACTGCCCAATGGCATTTTTAATTTACTCGAACTGGAATATGTAAGTGTCAGAGTGCAGAGTTTCTGTCCAGGCACTTTCTCTCTGGACCTATTTTGGTTGCGAGCTCTCTTCTAAAATACAAAATTGATTTTTGCTACTGTTAGTGCTTGCTCCATTAAAGCAAACAAAGCAAACAATAATTGAAATACAATAAAATTAAATTATTTTTAACAAGCCACAGGAAAACGGAAGTACTCACACACACACACGCACACACGCGCACACACACCCATGCACGCAGGCTGTTATAAAAGCCAATCTCTTCACAACTTGCACAGATAGTTTTTTTATTACTGATTTTTATTGCGCTTATTATAAATACTCTTGGGTATTGTTTAAATTGCTTTCCGTTAAAAAAAACTGGCCATATATTTTATTTGCAAAGGTAAATAAATTCTCATAAAGGCATGTAAGCTGACTTCTGCATGGGTGTGCGAGTGTGTGTGTGTGCGTGCGTGTGTGTTGTGTGTGTTTCTGGTATGTCTGTGTGTAATAAACAAATACATTTTTAATATTTATGTATTCATGGCCATTAAACGGATATCCGTGGCCATCGCGCGTTAAATTGCAATGGACTTCGCGCCCCCGCCACCCTAGAGAGAATCTGGCCCATATACATGTATATATATATTTAAGCAAATATATATATAGTCAACTTTAATATGCGCTTCTGTGGCTACATGCAGCACTCACGTATTATTAAATTAACGAACAAATTAACAAAAATTATGCGGCGTTTAATTTAATTTTCATAATTTTTAACGTTCTGCTCGCTTGAAAATTGATTTAAAGCCCGGACAACTCGTCCAGAAAGTACTGCACGATATATGTCGATATATATATATATATGTATGTAACATATATATTAGTGATCAAATAAAAAAGCACAGGAAATCTTCCGTGTTTTTAAATTGTCTGGAAAAGAGCCAAAAAATACGCAAAATATTTAAAAAAAATTGGTGTTCTCAATTACATTCAATTTAAACACTTTACATTTTTTTTGGGTCTTAATCCATTTAAACTATTATATTATGATTTTTGTGCAATGCTCAGCAGACTTTTTGAAAATGATCCAAAAAAGTTTGCGGCTACAATAAATTGTAGAGCATGTGGCAAGAATCAATACACAAGTTCTTGCAACATCTCGAAATCGTTTTATATTGTTTGTAAATTTGGACTGTCCAACTAGGAGATACCCTATACCCAGCTTCCTTCGAAATGTAGACATTCTTCCCTTGTCAGTCCAACTAAAAATACATATTAACATTTTAAAAGAATGCCCATTTCTGGGTATGCGTATACTATGTAAGTGTCTACATACCAAATTTGGTGTCTCTAGCTCTTATAAGCTCTAAGATATGCTAAAAACGCAGGATTTCTACATGGATTTTTATCGATTTCAGCAAAAGGTGCAATTTATCTATGATTGGAGGATCTATTGGAGCACATATTAGTTTTTCAGAGTTCGACGCGTTAATGAATGGATAGCCAAATAGACATAGCCAGACCGACTCTGTTCATCGTCCTGATTAAGCAAAAATATACTTTCGGAGATACTTCCTTTCGCATTTATGTACATTTGCAGAAATCTATTTAATTTTTTACCCATTTTCAACGGGCTCAGTGTATAAAAACTAGGCACGGCCAGGGCCGAGGAATAGGCGCTAGTCATTTTATATCTAGCTTCTAATTAGTAAACTGCGGGTTAAATATATTATAGGAACTTTTTCTAGAAAGCCATTGCCTTGACAACACGAATGCTAGAGTTTCAGCTTTGTAGGATGCCTGAATTCTCAGAAAAAGGAGCCAAAGAAATAGTAATTGCCTGATGTGATGTGTATAATACACTCGTATATGTGAATGGTATTTTCATGCATAGCACTAGAACTTGTGTATGCTTAGACCGGCCCAAGTTTGGAAAGGTGGGCAGGGGTAATGTTTAGATTTGCTCGGCTCTAGTTCTTATGTATTAATTCTAATTAAATTTGTTATTCAAAACGAGAATGCGGCACGTCCACGTCAGCCATTTTGCAAGTGTTAACCTTTTGGCAGTCGGCTGTCGCAGTAAGCTCTCGCAAATGGACAAACATTGACGGCGACAATTCGCACGATGCGGCCTGAAAGCAACCTTGACATTTTTTGCCTGTTTTCATTACACTAATGAAGTCATGTGCGACTGTGTTGACAGCAAGTGTGGCAGTTGATGTGTGTGCCTCTGTCCATGTGTGTGTGTGTGTGTGTTTGTCTGTATCCGACCAGCAGCCGTTTTTGTCCAGGTCCAGGCAAACGACTAATGCCAGACACATAAAAGGTGCACGGCAGGCGCTGGCTGGCAGCGACGCCTCATTAAACCATTTTATTATGCCCAACGTCATGAGGCGGCCTTAACTTTGTCAAAGACTCCCGAGCACATACACAGCCTACACCTCATCAGCCCACTCAGACACATAGGCAAACAGAGAGAGTTGCTTAATAAGTGTAAACTGAGCACATAACGCATACGCCGCATGGTACAGCACATACATTTAATGCTTTAAAACGAGCGCATCTCGAAGTGGAACTTGAGCCGCGGGTATGCCAGCTAAATTGTAAGACGACAGAAATATTTCAACAGGAATTTACGATGCGCGCACACTAAATGCTCATTTAGTTTGCACTTTTATTTAGAAACTTGGTTTGCACGTTTGCCAAATTGTCTGCGGTAGCGAAAGCCAACCGCAGCCGCCAACAACCGGCGCAACAACAACGGCAACAAAAACAGCAGCCACAAGAAAAACAACAACGTTGTTTGGGGCAAAGTGCAATAATAATGAAGGCAGAGGCGTAAATTTTGCTTTGGCTGCAGCCAGCCTTGAGAGAGAAACGAGCTGCCGGCTGACAAAAGGCAGGGGGAGAGGTGAGAGCAAATGGAGACTCCTGTGGCTCCTGCCAGGTGAGCCATGTTGTCAGCGGAAGGCAGCAACAAATTTTCGTTGCGAAAGCTTTTAGTGAATTTATGGCAAGAAATTTCCTCTGCTCGAACTGCAACTGCAACTGGAGCGGCCTGCACTGGCCGTTTGTTTATGTCTTAGCCAGGAGCACTTCCTGCCACACGGATTGCGCCATGCTGCTTCACAAACTTTCGAACGTAATGCACTCGTGCTTATACAACAGTATTAGCTCCCAATGATCCTCAGCCCGATAGACAGCTGCCTAATTGAATGCATAAACGTTGAGAGGTTTCATAACGTGCGCGCAATTAATTTGTAAAATATTCACGGCCGCATCCTCCACCCAGGAGACGAAGTTGGCACACAATTCTCAAGTTATGCACCATATGTACATCAACAGCAATAGACATTTGTTGGCGGGGCTTCACTTGTGACGGCAGCATCAATTACCTGGTTATTTTTTGCGAATTTTCAAACAACCTCCAAGAATTCCGCCAAGTTTTGTTGAATTGTGCGAGCACTCGGCAGTTGAATGGAAAAGTTGCACACGCCACGCGCCTGCCGCTGTTACACAATACAAGGACTCTTGTTTCGTATCTTCTTCTCCTCTCTTCAACAAAGTTGACTAAAGTTTATTCAAAAATAAATTTAACTTTTAAATCATCAGCCGGCTGCAGCTAGGATGGCAATTTGCCACCATATGTGAAGATCCTTGACAACTATAACGCACGGC